CTTCAGACGATGTGCAAGAGGTAATTAAGGACACGTGTTGGACGTTGGAAAAGACGTGTTGGAAATTTTCAAATTTGTGACTTGATCAATGCTCGTTCTTACGAATGTATATCTTTCAGCTTCTCGACTTGAAAACCAGATTGCAGATACGCTTACGCATATATTGCTCTTTACTACATTGGAGATTATTTCAACTGTGCCGAGAAGGCTGGCCATGTTTTTCTGACTATCTGTGAAAATATGAGGGATAATAAGGTCTTCAAAGATGCGGACTCGGCAATTGAATCCGTTATAGAAAACGTAAAAAGCGTTAGTAGCTTGTACACCTATGTGTATATTATAATATATTATTATTAAATATATACTTAGGTTGATTGGTTGACACAAGATGTACAAACTTTAATATATAATATATATGTAATATATAATATAGCTACTATTTTCATATTATTTTAAATCGATCTATCTATATATTACTTTCTTTTAAAAAATGTGTATACTTAACATTTCTTATAATATATTGCGTAAACACGTTTTTTCTGTTTTTACAATAATAATGTTCATATATTGGGATAATATATAATACAAGATAAGATATTACAAGATTTTGACACCTCTATACAATACTTCTATTATACATATATGTGTAAGATATTAGAATTCGAGCAATACTTTTATAAAATTATTTGCTATAACGTGACACAATACTTCGACATACAGTATCACAATTAGAGATCTCTCTAATCTTCCGAAATTGGCATTGGTTGCATCTAGCGAGCAATTTCTTATCTCGTCCATTTGTTCTAGCATCAATCACAATTAAAATTGCAATTTCTTAGCTAAAGAGGCTCCTTCCATCGAATCTAACAGTTTTCTTTTTAGACTAGGTCTTTCGTCACGTTGACGTTTAATGGTCATGGGTAGAGGCAGTTTAGATCCAGCTGTAGGTGTGAGTTTATTGCTAAAGTATGGCATTTGCAGCGCTTGATCACAGGTACACCTTTCCCGAGGATTCACGTTCAGAAAACTAGCAATTAAATCCAGGAGATCGTCGCCAGCAGCAGATAATATATGCTTCAAAGGCGTGCCAGGAAAGGGCTTGAATTGAATAAAGTCCGGTAATTCGGTCATTCCTTGCCATGTTTCTTCCGTTGGAGTGTCTAACCTAGTGTCTAAACAGAGAAATGATACAACATCAAAATTAGAGAAATAAGATAATTTCACAAGACACTAATGATTTAACACCAAATTCAAACTGTTGCGGCAAGATGGAAAATTACCGATTACGGCGATTACGGCGCAGAGATGTCTGCTTATTCTCATCTATATTCCTCAATACCATCTGTTGAAGTTCTATCTTAAAACTTTGTAACCGGCGTACTTCCTGCGATAGTTCGTGCCACTGTTGTACTGTGGCAAATTGATGGTTTGGTGGTTCCCTAATCCGCGACTGCTCGAGTAGCAGCTGGAATCGCTGCTGCTCGTTGTTCATTGCCGGCATGGCCGGCAATGGGATATTATATTGCAGATCGGGGAGTTCGGGGACATACGTGTTATCTGCAACATCTGCAACATAATATAACATATGCATATTTAATTTCTAAAAAAGATAAATTGCTTCGTTTAATATCCTGCAGCCTTTAACATAATTCTATACACATCATTCTTTTAGTTAAATGTAATTATATATTTTTTTTAATATTTTTAGAGAAGCTTTCGAAAGAGAAATGTACATTCTACAGATTAATATTTTATTTATGTATTAATATCCTTTCTGATTGTATTATCAAAACATAACGAAAATAGACGTTTAATATTTAATATTATACTTGTATAAATAATTACATAATTAACATATACCTGATGATAAATAAGGTGGCTGAACCATATTCCGAGAACTGTGGAACTGTATTTTATTCCGAACACAGACAGTAGTTCACAGTAGCACAGTTCAAGCTTCAACTGAGCTCGCAGGATCGTCGCACAACACGCGAATTTTCGAGTTTGGAAGCGGCGCAGGTATGCGAAAGCATATGTAGCCCGCGCGTGATACCATTGTCAGAGACGCGTGTATGCGTGATCGACTACACGCTGTAGTCGTCCGTCAATATTATCTAAATATAAGGAACTTGAATTTATGAGTAACGGCGAATCCGGAACAAAATCTAAATATATGAAGATTATTGTAAATAAAGAATGACATTTTTTATAACAAATTGTAAAATGTTACATCCCGTTTTCACATGTAATGAGCCATAATTCATTCTAAGAAGAAGATTACATCGTAGATAGAAATATAAATTTGTGGAATTTTTTATCTCTATCTTCAGGAGGTCCAAACTGAACATTATTCTAATCCTTTAGTCGACGCTATTAGAAGAGAATCGAAACGTTACGCTCTAATGAATTAAATATTCTAATGATAAGAGTATATGATTATTGGCAGCCTGATGATAGAGAAATTAGGCAAAGTTTATTTGACAAGACTGTTAAGATAAAGGATAAATGTGTTCAAACTGCGACTGAGATACTTTGTATTGATTAGGAAACATCTTCGACGAAAACGCAGCGATTGGTTTTCGGTGAACTCGAGCTAAAGACAAAAAGGTGACCTGTTATGTAAATTTAAAAACTTCAAAGAGATACTTTTCATTTTTCAGCATGTACCTATACTATTTGCACAAAATACATTATTTTAAATTTTTATAAAAGAATAAATAATTACGCATGAAAATTGTCAAACGCCATTATATTTTTGAAAGTAAATGGGATACATTTCTCGTAAGTATATTTTGTTATACGTCGAAAATAAGACATTATAAATTTTACACGTTAAAGTTAATTCATGTTACAACACTTCGAAGTGCCGCAACAAATCAAAGGTAACAATCATTGCGGTTTATATTGCATGAAATATATACACATATGCGGAAACTAATTGTATGTATATTAATTAAGATAAGATTAATTCTGCTTACAATTAGAGTAATAAATATTTTAGAAACACAAGGGAAACAAGAAATAAAATAATACTCTGACAATTAGTACAAAGTATTGAATTTTGAAATATGAAATTTGTATTTAGATTCCTTTAAAGAATTATTTTTGACATTATTTTTCTTGAACAAAAGAGATAAGAATAAGATATCGTGTTATAAAAAAAATATCTGTAGATAGGGAAAAATTATAAATTAGTTAGGATGTTTTATTTATACCCTTTATTTGTTCCTTTCCATATGTTCAGCCAATAAGATTAAATATTATATAAATCGATGCAAGAAAGCAACATATAGATATATTTAGAATATCGGTATACATGAAGAAAAGCGTACAATATGCATAAATATAAATAGTATAAATACATATGCACAAAAAGAGCAAAAAATACGTCTTATATATACATGACGTGAGATTCTAAATATTTTGTCGAGAAACGCTGAAACTTTTAAAATTATTTTAGAATTGATCATACATGTATAGTACAATTATATATTCTTGCAGCTTTTTGTCTAACAATTCGTTGTTGCAAAATAAAATTTTCTCTTTATTCTAAGCACTATATTTTAATTATTTCAAATCGCCGCAATTTCTCGGCTAAAATTACGTTATAAGCCTGCTTGCCGAGTTGAATGTGATTGGTTGGGTCTGACATAATGGCACAAACACTTTCTAATATGTTTATTTGATTATATAATGTTACACTAACTATTATCTAAGTATTATTTACATAATCATTTACATTATTTTTTTACCCTGGAGAAAAGTCTCTTACCACGTACTTTAGAGACACCTTTGCTAGTTCCCGGATTTTCATCTGATTGCTGACATTTTTCGTGAAGAGCTTTATATAGCAATTCAGCATCATTTTTATTTCCGAGTATTTCTTTTAGTTCTTCCTGACATTATAAAGATTATTCATATTTAATATTTTTATTTACAAATTGTACGAAAAAATTATATATTATAAAAAGAATTTAGACCTCTTAATTGTTGTTCACTTACTTCTGAGAGCTTCACAAGATGATCTAATGATTCCCCTTTATTCAATAGAATATGCAAATTTTTCGAATGTACACCCGGCAATTTAGCTATAAAATCTTGGATATGAGAGTTATATTTTTCTTCCATTACTTGCTTGTTTTCAACGTCATCTGCTCCAATTTTAGCAGCTACATTCGAATCAGGTTGATCTCGTCCTTGCTACAAACGTACAAAACTTGAATATCAAATAGAATTATTTATTAGATATATATTAATTATATTATTTCTATATATATAAATTTTGTTAAATAAAATTATATATATATATATATATATATATATATATATATATATATATTTGTATTACCTTTAATTCTTCAAACAATTGTGCTGTAGCATGTGGACTAGGAGACCATATAATTTTTAGTTTGGGAAAGTGAAGAGTTAATAATTGCAGTTTTGCTGTTACATTAGTATTTTTAAGATCTCTACCGACAGAGTAATTTCCCTAAAACAAGAGACGTTGTTACAATTGTTATATAAAAAGAATTGTGTCGTTTTTGTAAAATTGGATACCTGAAAACAGAATGGTTTATCCTGATCAAATTCTATGAGGAGCATGGGTTTAGCATAGTGCCTCGTCATAGAAACTGCTTGATTGTATAATCTCCCAGAAAATAAAGAGCCAATCAAATCAGATATACTTTTCCTCTCAACGCATATTTCTGGTGTTAAAATGTAATCACCCACCTGTAATATTATAACATTATAAACCATGTACAGATAACATTACTTTACATTAATAAACTTAATATATATTTCAGTCACTTACCACTAATGTCACCGGTTCGATTTTTATACCGCGCGTATACAAAATGGCTGGTAATTCACTTCTGAATTCTCTCATATCAACAATAACTTTTGGAATTATTTTGGCTGCAGATTGCCCTCCTTTACGTGTATTGTCCTGATCTGTATTATCCGACTGAATTGCAAGAGCCAAACAATCGTCCGATTTTCCATCTTGATCTTCTGGGATAACCATGGTCTATAAAGTGAAAGAAATTAATAATAATTGTTTAATAGCATATTCTTTTTGTTCTGAGATCATATAGAGAAAAACTTACAGTTTTCGTATTAATCAAAGAATGAAACGCTTCCTTTTCCCGTCGTAAAGAAGTAAGATATTCTTGTTCTTCAACCGACCCGCCATAAATCAAAAAATATACTTTCAAGTTTAATGATGGGTTATTATTCTGATACACCTCTAATTGCCTCACGGTGCCAATATCGGCCACGTATAAAATAATATTATTTGGCATATGCTCAGTTAAGATTCGTTGTAAAGCCATTGGATCTCCTCCTTTCTTTAAAGCTTGTATAAAAATGATAGGTGCGGATGCCGTATAAGTCTCTTTAGTTAAATCCAATTCTGCGATCTTTAAAATTAGAAAACAGGATTAATAAAAAAACATTTTTCTAATAAGCTCCTAACAAGCTAAAATCTTTCTTAAATATTATAATAATGTATAACTTACTTGCGAACATTCTTCAAACAATGTCTGATGCTTCACATCTTCTTTGGAAGTACTTGGTTGAGTTCCTTCTGTGCATTTTTGCGACAAGGTGAGCACATAAGTATCCTGCATTTCCGGCGTTTCTTCCTCTGTATTACTTTCAGATGTTGATGGTTGATTTTTCGCGTTTTTTCCACTATCGCAACTTGTCTTTTGTTCTTTATTATGCGATAGTTTTTTCAAAGCCTCATAAAGTAAATATTCATTTGCACCCATAGTTAAATAATTCTTTAATTGGCGACATATAGTGTTATCGTGTACTAAGATAAGAACTTTATCAATATTTTCATAGTCTTTTTTCTTATGTTTCTGTTCTTGAATCTCAGATAATACTTCCGATAAAGCTTCCCATTTTGGATTTGGTTCTGGTTTCAGTTCATTCTTATCTGTGTAAACTCTGCTTCTCGCATATTTGAACAAATTCTCGAATTCATCCAACATTATCCAACCACCGGCTTTCACGGCATATTCCATAGTCCGTAAACGATTTAGCATGGCATAAAATGTAACGGAATCTTCGTATGTCAAGGATATAACAAGGGAACGTAACGTTTTTAAATCGGAAAACAATTGTTTGGTCGTTGTACTAAGCTGATGCCAGATTGGATCTATTTGCAAATGTAACTGCTTGTGAAATTTCTTTGCTATTGCATTCTCTACAGTCAGTTCGTCTAAGTCTAAAGATTTATTGAGCCTCTTCAATTCTTTCACGGTGTAATTCATAATATCAAGTAAAGTGGTTTGAATGTTCTGCATCTTCGGTGTGATCTGTACATGTAGTTCTATAACATCGGGCTCATGCATGGACAAGCAATTATTAATAGTTGTGTGGAAACGTGGCCATAAATACAATTTCTTCACGAACAGAGCTTTCATAACTCGTTCTACTCGCAAATACCCAACCGTGAAAGCCAGTGATGAATTTGTGAACGCCTTGATAAATCCAGTTTTATTATGCTGTCTATATAAACGCAACGCAAATGCTTCTTGGTAAGCATTCAGAATATTGTGAGCTCTATATACGAGAATACCAGTGACCAAGTGCAACGGAACTCTGTTTTTTAACATATCAACCACCAAAATACGACCTGATATAAACAGCACTCCACCCTCCAAATACATTATTTCCCTGCGTTTAATGGTAAGATTTTATTAAAAATGAATATGTAAAATAAGAATGTATCTTTTTTATACCTTTCATTAGAGAGACATTCAGCATTCACTATACGCGGTAGCCTACTTGTTCCATAACTTTTAAGCAGATCAATAATGTAATTCTCATCATGATTGGTGGTTCCCAAAATTATAACTAGATTGCCCGGATCCGAGTAAGCTTTTATCACATTCGCAAAAACAGTTTCTATACCAAGACCCCTATGAACATTTTCCAATAAATAATAAGATTATACATTCTTACGTGAGATACAACAACAGCAAAGATAAAATGTACTTACTTAGCTGTAATAACTAGTCCATCTTCCTGAAGAATTTCAAGGAAGATTTGGTTTTCGTATTCCAACATGTTTAACGATAATTTTCAATCCAATTTCTAGGTTATTTATTAATTGCTCCAGCGTTCAAAACAGTAATTCAAACAAAATATCCAAATTGGTAAAAAAAAATTCTATAATCTGAAATGGGAAGTATGATGCTTATAAAATAGATATGAAAACTAAAAAAAAATAGAGTTATATAGTAATTAATATAGCATGGCTTACTCTATCACGAATTTTGTAAGTTTTTCCTGATGTCTCGTTGTAAGAGGAAGTATCGTCCTCGAACATTACTTCGGACACCAATAGAGTGTATTTACTGATCTCATGGGACGGATGGCCATAAACGCCAATACTTACAGGCCGTTTGAAGCTGCGAGGAAACGCCACGTGTTAGACAATAATAAATTTGACAAACCATAATTTGCAGTACCTCTTAGGTATAAAAATAATATCTTCCCCACAGGTTACGGACTGCAGACAATAGTGCTCGTACGTCGGTTTGCTTATAATCTGCGACGCATATAAATCCGCATCCCCCGTTCTGAAAAGAATACAAAGCATACAAATGTATCATGTGTTGCGACACTTAATAAGGAAAAAAATTCCATTTTATTAACAGGACAGGGAACAAGTAAGGGATATTAATAATCGCAACACTATTCTCACTCACATCGTTGTCAACCGTATCTTAATGTCACCGTCATACGTCAAGCTGTAATATTTGTAAGAGCCACCAGGTACATCATCACTAACGTAGTGCAATAATTCCTCGTTCAGCGCCAATACATAGGTTATCTAAAAGTTCAACAAAAGTAGTATAATAATATATACTAATATAATAGTTACTATTTAAAATATACTTTATAATACTAATATTACACTATATAATAATAGTATAATAATTTACTACATAGAAATTTCACGAAGTTTAGAATCTCTCACAAAGAACTTGAGTAAACATGATCGTACCAATGCTGCAATAAGAAATATTGTCTTCATAGTACGGCCAGAGAGAAGAATGAGAGACGACACGGCCCGGTTTTAGGTTAGATGATCCCAGAGTTGCCGTTCGCCGGAAGACTGGTGGGCAGCAGTGGTAACTGGTAGCACGCCCCGGCGACGTTCGCGAGCATCAGCTGACTGCAAAAATGGCGCCAAGCCGCTCGAAATTACCGGCGGATTTGTAATCGTTTATTTTTGTTCGAATAAATCAAGTGCTGTTTATCTCCACGATTTTAAATTTCTTTAATAGTGTATATGTATAGTAACAGTAACAAAGGTCGATAAATAATTTCGATTTACATAAAAAAGATTCCGAACTTGTTGATAGAGTTCGAGTGAAGTTTCGTTTCTTAAAAATTAATTGTATGTTGCGAATAACAGATGTCGCCTCCCTTTCTATAACAGGCCGTACATACACACTAATTATACCTCCAAAACAAAATTTTTAATTATTTATATATTATTTAAATTATTATATTAATTATTTATAATATTTTATGTAACCTCAGCAATATTTAACTTGGTTCCAAAAATATCTGATTATTAGAATAAGTTACTAAGTTTTTTTTATTAGAATAAGAATAATTTACTGGGGCTCTGATGTCCTCGATACGTACATTTATTTTGTATAATAAAGAAGAACTGCAGAGCACATTTATCTAATTCTGCCCTTATTTGATATATGTCAAATGTGCGCCATGTTTAATAACGATATGTCGGATATCATGATGCGCTCTATATATAAATCTAGGGGTTCTTTTAGGCGAGATACATTGATAAACCATGCACGAAATAGACCGTTTATTCTATTTCGAGAATGCCGCAAACGTTGTGAGATATTTCCAGATCTGTCGAAAACAGATTTTGCAAAGTGTCAGCTACAAAAGTTTTGCCGGCAGAAGCACAAAACAGAATCCGCCAACGTGACGGCAGATTCTGCTCGGTTTCTGCTGGCAATCTGCTGTCATCAGATTACATCAGCAGGCGATGCTAGCGGAACACGAGTTTAATGCGGACACACTCGATGCCAATCTGCTGCGATATTTCGCTCGAATAATCTACTGGCAAACTGCACTAACATACTGTTATTTTGCTCACTAGAATAATTTTATCGAACGGCGACAGGCTATAGATCTCTCTTGTAGAATGTAGATCGATCGGATATTTTATCAGAGAGGGAAAAAATGTTCATCCATATAGCGTTTATCATTTAGAACGAGGTTAACAAGACCACTTAGGGTCTATGATCCTCGTTAGATTCATAGTCGCGGCAGCGGCGTACGCTCGCGAAACAAATGATTCCGCGCGATTCTCGATGATCGCGCGACGATCATATGCCGCGAGGCGCCGCGCCGACCGGTGACTAATTATTACTAACGAGAGCGAAATTAACTAAGGTGCCTCGCGTCGAATAAAGGCATATAAAGAGAGTAGCGCGCGATAAGCGCGCGGCGTAAATAAAGCAGACGTCTCGGTTGAGAGAGACGCGCTGCTCGCCGAGGACGCCGAGCCACCCCGGGTTATTGGACATCCCATTAGTCGGGGCTCCCATATTTATGCAAATTTACGCGCTCTTCGCGCATGGTCTACGACAATGTGCGAGCCGCGCATCGAGCCGTTCCCGTTTGCGGGGCCCTACGACGCCCCTAACGCGTAACCGCGATCAACTATGATATCCGGCGGCAACGCCATTAGTAAATAAGGTGTAGTAATTACATCGCGAAGGAGGGAGCGAGAGAGCGCCGAGGGAGATACTTAATAATGAGCAATTAAAGCGCGGAAAGGATATTTTATTTTTTTTCCATGCTCTTTCTCCCCTTCGGTAGATATATGTAAAACCATCTGCTGTCTGCTGACGTGACCGCTATTGCTAATTTGTTATAGGAAGAGGGGGAGGCGTCCGTTTGTCGCCCCGCTGGATTTTTCTCTCCAAAAAGAAAGCTTTCGCATTGATCGCACTTGCGTGGGCCGCTCGCTACGATTACGTGTGTGCGAGGAACGTCAAAAAATCGTCTCGTATCTTCCTCGACGGGAGATATTCCTTCCCCCGTGCGTTCGCGGGGGGAAAAGCGTGACGCCTTGTAATAACGGAATGATATCGCGCGTGAACGAGGCGGTAGCCATCTCGGACGGATGCATTCCTTCATCTAACGGGAGACTTTCTCTTAATTAGTGGAGAGACGTGCGAATAGAGCGAAGTTTTTGGAGAACCCGAGAGAGACCTTCGAGAGCTGCTGCTTATCGGGCGTCAGGCATGAAAGGAAGTTTGGGAACGGGAGGAACAAACAAAGGCACGTCTTTATTGCCGAATCAACGAGACGTGTCTCGAATTCGAGAACCGTTATATGGATTCTGCTTAGCGCGACGTGAAATAGATGAAACTAAACTGTTGAATTTTCCGATATCTGAAATATGCATAGCTCGCGCGTCTTTCTTGCGCTCGATTCGTCGAAAGGATTAAGAGGAGCGTCTTATAATTTACATATTTATTCTTTCGGTACATACAGAAAACAAAGAAGTGTCATACTCATCAAAATAAACGCATCATTGCTTCATACGAAACAATCTATAACATCATTCATGCAAGTTTTCTTCATTTAACGCAATGTAATCTCATTTTAAGATTTCTACGTTGAAAGATATTTTGAAAACAAGAATATTCTTTTTTTTTGTGTAGATTTGCAAATGGCGTGTCCTCCCTGTAACGAAATACTCGACAGGATCGCCAATATTATATCGGACGCGACGGACTCTTTTCTATAAATAATTCCGTTGGTACGAGCTAACGTTTCATCACGCGGCAATTGAATTTTTCAAATTTCTCCCCCGCGCGAGCCAATCGGCGCGGCCCGTTGACATCACGTGACCCGAATTTCGAGGACTATATAAGTGGAAATCGCTTCCGCCCCTCCAGTCGCCTCGCGTCATCTCGTCGGTCGTCATCGGTCATTGTTTCCGCGGATCGCGTGTGTCGTGCCGAAATTTCGCGAAAGTCTCTTCCGCGGGACGCGAACGGGCCGGGCTCACGACCCCCTCGATCGAAGTGGAGACGCGATCGCGGTTAAAAGACTCCGCGTGCTCTCGCGCACGCACACGAGTTTGCCGTTCGCCGCGGCACATACACTCGCTCGCCCGTTAGTATACCTTCGCGGTGAATTCGCGGTGAATCGAACCTAAGGGCGGCCGGCGGCGTGAAGTGCGGCGCGGACGACCGCGGCCGCGCGCGCGCGCGCGTCGAGCGAGAGAAGCAGTGAGGGAGGGGAGCCCGCGAGACGGAGGGTCAAAAAATGCGAGGCTGCGCGCGCAGCCGCTTTGTCTCTCCCGTCGAGTAGCGGCGCGGCGCGGAGGGAAGGGGCGCTCGGAACCACGAGGGGGCCACCAAGGGTCCGCGAGAGCGGACCATGGCGGACCAGCGGCGAACTGCATCCTCTCAGTCGGCCGCTGAACCCGCGCGCTGTACGGTTGGTACGCGTGCGTTTACCGCGCTCGACCGTCCGTCCGTCCGTCCGTACGTTCGTTCGTTCATACGTTCTTTCGTTTGCACCGCGTATATACCGTTCGCCGTCTCTCCGTATCGCCTTCTCCCGACTCCCGTCGTCGCGACCGACGCGTTCAAGTGAAAAATCCGCACGTTTTTCCCTTCTGTTATCCTTCCCCGAGACCGCCCGGCCCGATCGTCGTCGGCGTCGTCGTCGTCGTCGTAGTCCGGTGGTGTTCCATTCGAGGGGAGAGCGGCGGGGCCCCGACCACGGCTGCTCCGAAACGAGGGTGCTCCGACCCGGCGAGACTACGAGATCTGCTACCCCTTTGGATTTTTCGGCGGATCGTCTCTCCTCCTCACGCTGGTAGATCGTCCTCGTGCGCGGTCGACGAGAAATTTTCCTGCATGGTAAGTACGCTACGAACTATATATGTACATACTCGAACAATACCGAACGCCGCATTGACCGGCGCTTATTGCCTCGCGAAACGGCCTACCCCTCGCCCGGCTGGCGATTCGCGGGGGTGGGTTGAAAGGGACGAGTGGACGCGGGGGTTTATTGTTCCCGCGAGGCAGTACCGTTACCTCCTCGCCAGAATTGAATAATTAAATACATCGATATCCGCGTCGAGGGGAAGTAGAGGAGTGAAGTTGTCTCTTCTAGTAGCGAGTAGAGCGTTCTCCGATTCGAGATAATTTCCCTCGCGCACTTGTCCCTTCAGTTTGAATTTCAACGGAATGTTTAAACGATGACTGATCATCGAAAGCGTATATCACCGTGACAATCGATAAGATAAGCGAGATTCCCAATAAGATTCCTGACGGGCGTTTTGTTCTTGCGAAAGATCGTGTATCCCCATTGGAGCACGCTTGAATTTCGAATTGAATTAATTAACGTTTGCTCCGCCATATTATCGGGTAGCGGACACGATTTTCTATGCCGGTGCGGCAAATTGTAATTTGAACGAATTCTTTTGAGAACAAAGTAGACAGGTTGTGTCGATCTGATAAGCCATTATTTTCTATTTACCATAGAAAAATATACTATCTATAGTAAATATAAAAAAATATGATATGTATTTGTACGTACATAGAAATATACGTAGCCAACGATTTTTCAATTGGATAATCCCAAATATACAGGGAGAAAATTTTATAGTAAATATTACTATGGTGTCGCACTAGCTGCGGACCATCGAGGAATTTCAAGTTAAA